TGGGCATCCCTGTCACCTTTCCCTCGGCGGGGAAGGTGGACAAATTTGGGGATGAAAGAGTTTTTGACGATAGGTGTTTCGTATCGTCATGGAGGGGGGGGAGTGTCTGGATTGGAATTGAAATTCGTGTGGATATGTATTTGGGAGTATTTAATTAGATATCTTGCGTAGGGATATTTATATCATTTTTGTCACCTTTGCGATGGTTTTTCTTCGACTTTGAGGAGGTTTCGTGTCGTGACGGAGAACTGAGTTTGGATGCAAATTTTGAATTGCATTAACCTCTTCGTATTCGCGAATGAGATATCGCTCTACCCATTCGACTGTTTCGAAGAAACATCTCGCGACTTGAATTTGCTTATTTGACACTTTGCATATATTATTATTGTTGACGTCACTATGACTAATGATGCACTGCTATAGACTCGCTATCTCGTCTAAAGTGTCGGATGGGTAAAAATCTCGTCCGTGGATGTGAGAAGGTTAATTATAGATAGTGTCAAATTCTTGGCACCTCGTGCTAAAATAGTGAGTCAAGAACTATTTTTGCTCTCCTAATAAAAATTGTTTTATGGGTCACCAGCGCCACGCAATAATATTTTTGCCCACCGAAAACAACCCAGACCTTCGGTATATATTTCCCATTCATATCTCACCCCAACTACGTCGACTCAAATATTCCTCGTGAAAAATCGCCCGTTCGTTATAGAACGATAGAACGTCTCTCGCCCGAAAATTAATACGCCGTTATTGAAGGTCGAGAATTCGTGGCCGATGATAAATTCCGACGTTTCCTCGGAGGAGAAGGCGAGATTAAACCGTAGTCACCGTGGAAAAAGATGGTTCGGGGTGGGAATTTGAAGGGGTGTACACGTAGACGAGGAGTTTTGTTGAGTATAAAATCAATCGTGCTCTGCTAATTATCGCGCGACGATTCGCCCGCCTCGCGGACCCTCTCCATTATCAGAGCGTCGGAAAAGCGATTATTGGAGATTGTGGAAGGGGACGAGTGCGTTCCGGCGTGATTAACCGCGGCAGGCAACCCTGTTTCGAGGATTTTTTAAGTTATCGCTGGTGAACTGAGTGTAAGAGAGGTGGAAGGCTCTTTGAAGTGAAACTTCGTCGTTCTCAAGTTCCTTTTGGCGTTCTTTCGCGATTTTTCTGCAGAGGACAGATTTTCTTGGACCTCGTGTAATTTGAAATTGCACGATTAAGAATCTGGATGTATACAGGGTGATTCTAGAGTCACATGCGTAACAGACGCCGCTTGGGTTGTTAGGCCGTACCGACGAGCCGAACAATAACATCGCTATTTTCAATAGACAGCACCTTCTAAAAAGCGAGGTCTTAGCCGGCATGGGTAAATTACTTTACTACACCAAAAATTCGACGACCCTCACACCTGGACACCACATGCCCTAAGCAATGAAACAGACCTTCGACATCACCAATTTTCAGACAAGCAATATAACAAATGTAAGAACAAATTCCCCACTTTCACACCACCACCAGACACCACCCAAACACACCGAAAAAACCAATCACCACACACTTCCACCACCTACGACAGTTTTCACACCACAAGACACCACCCAAACACACCGAAAAAACCAATCACCACACACTTCCACCACGTACGACAGTTTTCACACCACACACGTAGTTTATAAAATAGCGAACACCATACGACACGACACACAATTTTCCGATCAGTAAGCTTAGGCATTTCGTGCTCTGTTCACGTTCATTCACAAATATATAGTTTTAACAGGAAACTGTTGTGCGTTAATAGTCTATCTTCCCGAGTCCCCTATCCCGAGTAGATTCCTTAAATGGTCTGACTCAAAAAAAGGGACAATTATCGGTTTCGCAACAAACATATGGCGATTCGTAACACTAGAAATAGGGCCAAGTCAGAGGAAAACTAGAAATGCAGAAAAATTTGCATTGTTTACTAAGCTCTAACATCGTATGACGTGATTTCTTTTGCAAGTGCATAGGTTCACTTGCAAAGTGCAATTGCATTGATTTTTAAAGGGAATTACACTTTTTCTTTTTTACGTAAATCGGCACTTTGGGACATTTTGCTTGCAGAAGTGTGCATTAGGGTGCGATATTAGAACAATCAATACTTCGTGAAATATTTCAAATTTTTGATAAGATGTAGTACTATCGAACACTTTGTGTTTACATTTGAAATCCCTCACAAAATATTGATTTCTCAAACGTCAATTTTCATACCTAGAATATCCCGAAAAATCGATCTAAAAAGGGAAATATGCGATTCCATTAAAAACTGTGTTTCAAATTTATTAAACCTTGCAAAATTTTCATCTATCGATACTCATACTCGAAATGTTGTACGATTCTGCTTTGCATTCTGGACTTCG